GAATAAAGAGCTGCATGTCCATTTATAGCTCATTAAGATGCTGAACGTCTGCTAATGAAAAGTATGATGAGCCCCCAAGTTCAATATGTTGATTGTAATGTAGTTATTGGCACATACTGATCAATAGTCCATTACTTAAAATACCTCATTCGAAATACTGACACTAACTTTTGATAATACAAACTATTATAATATAAATTGTAGTCCTGTTGTATGAAATACCAAAAAGATTTTGAAGCTTTCAAATACTCTTTGATCCATTTTAACCGTAGGTCATAATTCACATCCATTAAGTGTAGTATCTCCAAATTGCTGTCAACTCTTGAAGCTGCTAAAACAAAAATGTTTAATGATGGCAATGATGATGCCATGATGATTAAATTAATTAAAGTGTTATTTATTTCTTTATGAATATATTGTAAATAAATGAATAGATATATACTCTAGAAATACCACCATGCTTTAGCTTCTTTTTGTTCTTGAATCGTTTAGAAATATGAATTCCAAAATATTGAATACGTTATTTTGACAGGAATGTCACATCAATAATGAATAGAACTGTGTCGTCAGCTTCAGGATTGTTGTTCGGACTGAATAAGAAATGTGAAAACATCACTGGGGCCTGCAGATGAGAATCTCCTGTTATTTCTGACGTTGTGCAGACTGAAGCTGGGTGAAATATAACATTACTGAGTAATGAAAATAAAAGTGAGCTGCACCAGAACTGAGAAAACAAATGGTGAAACTGTGAGACACAGTCTGTTCCTCACTGCCCTCAGTACAGTTAGGTGCATAATTAGAATTGTTCAAATGTAGATAAAAGCACCAAACTCCATCTGCTCACATGAAAACCTAAAAAAAGATGTGTCATCGGAATATCCAATATAGCAGCCGTTTTTCAGGATGTAAACTAATTTAACCTCTAATGTCCACAGAACGTGGCTTCATCTAGTTGTACTTTTACTGAAGCAGCTCGCCGCTTCAAGGCTTCAAATTCCTTGAAATCATGTATTCATTTCATGGTGAGTTACCAGTTTTATTTGCTACTGAGTTTGTCTTTAATAAGTACATTAAACAAATCAAATTCTTGTTCCAGTAACTTCGCCTCTGGCAGCCTGGTCTCCTAAAACTCCGGGATGGACCGATCTAACTTTTTCAGTCCTGATACCGATAGCTGGGCTTCAGGTAGCGATCAGATACCGATTCATTAATAAGCTGCATGCCTAACTGTGTGGAAGAGACTGGGATTATTTTTGTATGTGAAAGGCAACATCAGATTTGACTTAAACACTGCTTTCCTAACTTTGTAAAACAAAATGTAAAAAATAAATGCATGAATAAAAATGGGGAAAAAAAAGGGAATTGTTATTTATTGTTAAAATAATAAATTGTTCACCAGCAACTTGTTAGAAAATCTTCAAAATTAACAGGAATTGCAATTCAAATTGAAACTTTTTAATGCAGCAGCAAATTGCTAAAACTTAAACAGGAAGTAAATTAATTTGGTATATAAACATAGAATTAATTTGAATATCCATCCATCCATCCATCCATTTTCCTCCGCTTATCCGGGGTCGGGTCGCGGTGGCAACAGGCCAAGCAGGCTGACCCAGACTTCCCTCTCACCGGCAACATGTTCCAGCTCATTCTGGGGGATCCCAGATTTGAATAGATAAGCCCCATTGCCACCAATATCCAGCTATTTGAGTCAATGTCGGCCCGATATCTGATATCGCTATACTAAAAATTACATTAATATACAACAAAACTTGATTATATTAATTCGTTTCGAGGGGAAGTATTTTCTGCTGGATCACATTTCTATTATTTTCTATTAATCCTAGTCTTAGCTACGCATAATATCCGGGAAATACACAAAATAAAGATATCACAGCAAACGGCGTCACTGAAATGAGTTCAGCTGTTACCATACTAACAATGACGAAGCTGCAAATGTGTTAGTAAAACGCTGTAAAAAACAAAAAGAATGTGATGCTGCCGCATCAAGTAGACTTTACGTTCTCTTAACAAAAATTACTCAAACTGAATTTGGCATTCTGGTCTTATTTGTCCAGATTATGAGATATCTGTCTAGGACTGTGTGGTCAAGGATGCAAAGCGAAATTTTGAGGCAGTGCGATTTCATACCAAGTCAAATTAGGCCTAAGACACAATTTAACATAATTTTTATCTTCAATAAAATATCACATTGTAAATTTCATCTCCTCTTCTAAACTCTGATCTGTCACACAAACATGTTTTATAACAATGCAACTAGAACAAATCAGCAAAGATGGACATTTTACAATAAGGTATTGTCTAATTATTTACAATATTGATTAATCTGTCGATCATTTTAAATAATAATGTTGTCTTGAAGCTGACCATTACAATTTCCCAGAGTCCAAGTTAACGTCTTCAAATGTCTTGTTTTGTCCAAAACCAAAGAAATATTCAGTTAAAAGTGACAGCAAACGGAGAAAAGCAGCAAAGCACACTGTGGGAACAGCAAGCTGTATAAAATAATTAACTATCAAACATTGCTGGTGAAAAATATTCTGTCAGCTAATGAACTTATTGTTTCAGTACTTTTCTCCTGTTTCTCATGTTACTGTTAGTGCTAACAGCAGTGGTGGACCGCCAGGGCCAGCAAAACCTTCTCTGCTGGCCTAAACAGAATCACAAAGTTATAGCTATTTTATAATTTAATAATTTTTCTTAAATACACTACATGTATTATAATTTATAAAAATATTTCCCCATTATCTTATGTTCTCATTGCACAGCTACTGTCTTCCTCAATTGCTTCCAGTGCAGCTTGTTTTAAGTAGAGATTTTATCCAATCAGATTTCACCTCTGTGTCTCTAGGTAAGAAGAGAGGCCAGAGGCCTGCAGACTCACAAGTGAATCCCTTTGCAGTTTAAGTGAATGGGGACGATATTGTTGATTGTCATAGTGTTCAACCAATCAGATCTTTAGTTTGACATGTTGGGCGTATTCTTTGACGTGCCAGAGCCTGCTAGCGGCCTACAAGTACGTGATTGGTCAGTGGGCTAGCGTGACATGTTGGGCGGTGACAATCCCAAAATCTACTGCCTCTGTCGATCGGACATTTTCAGCCCTCAAACGCATTAAAACGTATTCAAGAAATACAACTGGGGAGGCTCGACTGTCTTCACTGGCGTCCATGAATCGAGAAGGACTTCTTACTGGAACTAAAACACACGGATGTACTGAACAACCGTGGGATTAAACTCTTTATTAACAAAGAAAGGAGGATGGACTTTGTCTTTAAATAGTTAACAGCAGCTTTGGTAAGTGAACTGCTTTTGTTTTTACATCGGCAGTATATATTATTATTTGTACAACTTGTTTTTATGAAGATGGATTTTTGTTTGGTTTTATATGTGATAGGAACTATTGTTACGTCCAATGTTGCTCTGGAGACACATTTAGTCAGTGCACAGCAACAAGAAGAAGCGGCAGAAGTCGATATCCTGCGCGCAAAGTGTTAAAGTGTTAAAGTTAAGTTTAAGTTAAAGTGTTAAAGCGATTATCTTTGAAGGTTCATGTGTTTTCAAGTGGACTCATTTCCCCTCTCGGTGTTGCGTGGACGAATAAATCCGTCAGTAACAAGAATTACGGTTTTGTGTATTTCCTGGAAGGAGTGATCATAGTGTTACTACTGTGTTCATTTGTCTATGGTGTATATTGTTCCCTCTGATGTGAATAACATTTGAATGGCCCGTGCTCTTCAGTGTGCGGTGGAATACATGTTTTAGCTCCGCAGTTTTTTTAATGCATTGTCCGTTAATGACGCAGCATCCCGTGCGCGTATTCATGTATCTGCACTCTGCAGTTAGTGTATTCATAGGTGTTGAGCTTCATTTTTACATGAAACAAATAATAACCGTAGCTGTGGCGTCATAATGAGGTTAGGTGGTTCAACTGCAGGACAGCAGTGAAGGCCCAGGTATAAAATGCATGGCCCGCCACTGGTTAACAGTAATGTAGGTTTCCAAATTAGGTTTCTACAAAACATCAACAGACCATAAAATGAAGCGCTCTACTGAGACAAATTCACGAGCATGTTCACATCTCACATTTCTGTCTGATGTTTTGAGATTTCCATCCCATATCACCACTGATGGACACATCAGGATCATTTTTACACACAAAAAACAGCAAATAGTTCTGTAATAAACTGTCATACTAATGTACAGGTTCGTAGATACTTTACCTGCAGCCAGGGCCACCTGAGGTCATGTGATCTGATTTAGTTGGGGGGGACTGGCTACACTCTGAGGATTTGCTGCTTGTCTTTGTCCTCTCTAACAGAAGGTTAAACTAAGTGACAGGGTTGCAAAGACTCTGGTACATTTTCCAACGGAGGTTAAGCTCGGGAATATAGGAGATTTTGCACAATTTCAATATAAAACATTAAAGCTGCAACAAATAATCTTCCACCACTGGTTACTCTGCAGCATGTGCACCCCAGGATAAGTCAACAATGGTTAGCTACATAGATTTAATGAATGACTGTGGGCTGGCTGTTGTCAAACGCAACCATGTGCATCTTGAGTTACGGGGTCATTCAAATTCATGTCTGCACCCGGAGGCTGTGTAGGAAGTTCTTTCCAATGGCACCAAAAGAGAGAACTATCCACAGCATCTGCAGCAGGTGTGTCTGACAGGCCGGGGCCAACTCCCTACCTATCATTCCTGTGTGATGATGACCCATCAATATATGGATATAGAAGATAAGTGACTGTTGGCCCTGCAGATGGGAGCATGTCAAAGATGGCAGCTGGTAGCCACACTGTAAGATCTGGCCTTATTCAGAGTCCACCATGGTGCCAAGAGTGCCAACTGTCAGAGCAGCCCTCTGCTCATTCATTCATTTATACCACACACACATAAACAAACACATCACATCACCACACACACACACACACACACACACACACTGTCATTACCCATCTCAAGGCCTCCATCCTACCTCCATATCTGGCCCATCTGGAGGATGTGGATGACGGACTGGCCGAACCAGACGCAGAAGGAGTAGTAGGCCGACCGTTTCCCGGTTCTGCCGCCCACCGCGGTGCTCGCAGTGCTGTTGGTCGTAGTGTTCTTGCTGGCGGTCGACGCCTGTCTCTGCGGCGTGGCCGGGTGGTGTTGAGCGGTAACGTCGCCGTGCGAGGCCGAGCCGCTCAGCAGCTTGTTCCCGTCCATGTGGGCGCAATCGGCGGCGGATTCGGCGCTGTCCTCGGTGCCGAAGTCGTGGACGAACCATCTGAAGCTGAAGAGCTGGACCGAGAAGGAGCCCAGCACCACGAAGAAGAGCGTCAGGCCGAACCACCAGTACTCGCGGCGGAGGTAGTAGTCGACCGAGAGCCACACGTCGGTGCCCACGTCGGCCAGATACACGGCCACCGCAGCTACGATCCACAGGCAGTCCCACACCGTGTATTTCTGCTGCTCCCTGCCCGGGCGAAGGCACGTCGAGTTGGAGCCCCCGCCGCCGCCGCAGCACCGTGACTCCCCGTTGGCGAAGTCCCCGTCCCCGGTTCCCGCAGAGTCGGGCTGGGCACCCGGGTGGAGCCCCTGCACCGAGCCGGAGTGCTCCGAGTTCTGCAGCGGGGTGAAAGCCACGTCGCTCTTCTTCATCTTCAGGACCCCGTCCGATTTAGCCGCCATTATTGGAAGCTTGTAATATCACTCTCTTATTTTTCCAGCGGTCCTCCCCTCCTCTTCTCCTCTAGGCTTCCCCCTGCCTCTCTCCGTCGACACCCTTATGTGTGTGTCTCTCCTCCTCCTCCTCCTCCTCCTCCTTTCTGGGCAGGACTAGCTCCTTCACACTGCCGCCTGTTCATAATACACAATCGAGACAAAATAGAGGACTGACCCAGAGCTTGCTCTGATATTCTGGTCCATATCACGTCTTTATTGGACTTCTCTTCTGGTTTGTGATCCGCTCACATCCAGCCGGCAGGAAGGGGCTTTTCCGATTTGTGTCCTCCGCCTGCAGACAGGCTACCCGAACAGATTCTGCTTCTGCGGTTTTTCCCTCTTTGTCCTCGATGAGTCCTAATGCTGAGGCAGATGTGGAGGGTGGAGACGGAGACAGGAGCGGAGGAAAAGGAGGAAGGCTGCATCCATCTGCTTCTTCTATCGCACAAACTAAAAACTATGACATCATCCTCCTCTCTCTCCCTCGATGACTCTCTCCCTCTTAATGCCAGTCTCTGTCTCAAAATCTCCTATTGCAGGCGAATCAATCCGCCTCTCAGTTTACCTGTCAGCATGCAGCATGTCCTATCAATCGGGATGTTAAAAACCTGAGGTGAAGCAGCCTCTCGTCCTGCTGAGTACAGACTGCTTTCCAGCACCATGGACAGTTACTTACTGTTACTCAGCATTCTCTGCAGAGATTTGAACTTCAGAATCCTACAGTCAAGTGCTTAATCCCGAAACATTAGCAGCAATCACCACATCATTTTATATTGTGCAACACTTCCTTTGCCCAACAGAAGGCTATCTCACACTCAAAACCTTCCCCAAACAGTTGCCAAAGAGTTGGAAGAATAGGCCACTGATGTCGGAAATAGCATCATATACTGTTAGGAAGCCGACCCTGACCTAAAGTACACCAGGCCCATGTGGGCATGGGCGGATAATAAGAAAATGGCCCCCTGGGCGCCGACATGCAAAAGGCCCCATCACCTCTCCTGAGGAGCAGGACACACATACTTTATAGTTGTTCAGCCTCGCTTTGTGGTCACTTTGTGTCTCTGTGGTTGCTTTGTGTCTCTAGTCTTTGTCAGTCTCTTTGTAATTTATTTGTGTCTCTTTGTAGTCATTTTGAGTCTTTTTATAGTTGATTTGAGTCTCTTTGTTGCTGCTGTGTGTCTCTTTGTGTTTTTTGTCCCATTTCATAGTTGCTGTGAGTCTCTTATTGTCTCTTTTTAGCTGTTTAGCAGTTTATTATATTTGTAGTTGCTTTGCGTCTCTTTGTAGTCATTCGAGTCTCTTTGTAGTTGCTTTGTATCTCCTTGTAGTCATTGTGAGTCTCTTTCTATTTGCTTTACATCTCTCATACATCAACATCATACTTTTTGTGCAATCTGAGCCACTATGTGCCACAAATCTTTGTTCATCATCATCAATCATGTAAACTATTAATTATAAATCGATTCATTGTTTTTGAGAATCGATACAGTATCGCAAACATAATATTGCAATACCAAGTGTATCAATACTTTGAAATAATAGTTGGATAATATGCTTTGAAATACTTTTCAGAAGTTGGTAAATATTGCATAACTTTGTAAATTTAATCTTATATTCTATTTTTAGGTTGACTTTGTAACATCTGCCCTGGGACTACAGATGTAAAATAGCCTCTTGGCTAATGCTGGCGCATTTACAGCAATGTTTTATTAATGTGCACAGTCCATGACCAAATATACCAGTACATAAAGATCACCTCACATATGTACAAGTACAGGAACAGCAGGACAACAAAATGCAATCTATTGGTTCATCAACAGGAACACAGATTGTCTGGTTTTTTTTGCAGGTCTGAACGACTTCTTTTATAGTCTTTTATAGCATAGTCAGGATGCGTTTATTTCATGTGTCCACCACGAAAAAGGGTCCTAATTGACTTTCCAGTCCAAACTGACTCACCAGTATTTTTGCCCTACCTCCCCAATCAAACTGATGCACATGCCAGTGGCAGAGCACTAGGGATGGCGATGTCCATGTCTGTCAGTCATCTGGTCGATCACAAAATATCTCTTTAGGAAAGATGGCCATAATATTTTGAATGGAAATTCATTGTCCCCAGATGATAAAGCCTCCGGACTTAAGTGATCCACTAACCTGTCACTGTAAGGTTGCCAGTTTTGGTCATGAGTGAAATATCTCAAAAACGATTAAATAGATGGCCATGAAATTTGGCACTCTACAGTAATACTACTGCAATATTTATAATAAATGAGCTGAGTAAATATGTTTTGGACAAACAATAGTTTTAGGCTGTCAGAATGTGCCTTAGTCTGATACCTTATCCTATTGCCCATGCATGCTAGAATGCCTACAGACAAGGCCGGACATGGAGAATATTTCAGCATATTAGCATCAGCCCCGGCTAATCTCCACACATTCACACCATGTATACTGTAGCAGCTTTGCTGAAATATCTTTTCTGTTTACTGTTTATCCCAGAAAAATGTGTAATGGGGCGGTACATTTATTTAGACCTAATTTTCCACTTGGTATAATTATCAACGTTGTTTGAATGTTAATGCATGTGTAAAATGTGATGCTGATGGGGGCAGTCACAGTCTCACTTGCTAGTGTGTAATGTGCAGTATTATTGTTACTCCACTGAATACATGGTTCGTCTTTTCTGTTTATGTGCGACTACAAAGTGCAAACAACCTGATTTGCGGACAATGATGTGACCTGTTTCAGTGGATGTGCAAAACAGGAAACTTAGTCCCCAGTTAGCAGCCTTGGTCACTTTCCTAGCATATCTCTGCTGCATTAATTAGCTTAGCTGCAACGTTGTCAGCTGTTTCTGCCTGGCATACTCTGTCCTTTCAACACTACATGTTATTATTCACCCATTCACACCCATTCATACACTGATGGCAGTGGCTACCATGCAAGGTTAGCACCTTGTAAAATAGTCTTTAACTAACCATTCATACCCCCAAATTCACACAAGGATTGAACCGCCGATCTACTGATTGAAGTACGACTGCTCTACCACTTAGCCACAGTTGTCCCTATATATAAAATATTGTGGGTCAGAATAGCCAGAAAAGCATGATCAGATATAGCAGAATGTCCTGGTATTTTTTGGCATACTGCAAGTGACATACTATGTGACACACTAACACTCTTTTTCTGGCATACTGAATAGCATGGTTGTGTTGGGTATTGGAACACAGAGAGTGTGTGTGAGACGATGAAGTTAGCAGTAAGGTTATAGCTGTAAACATAGAAGTGAAGTGTGTGTAACATTACAGTTTATTTGTTGGTGAATACATGCTACAACTCCTCAAGACCAACACGTTCCAGTTCCAGTGTCTAGCTTGCCAGCCACCTGCTGGCTGAAGTGAAGGCTGTTAGCCTCAAAGTTAACAACAACTCTGTAACAACGTGCTGCCGCTCAGACACACTGAAATGGACCAACGCTATTCTCCATTAAAAAATACTAATACTAAATACTTATTATCAATTTACGGCTAAACGGTTAATTGTTTATCTCCCCAAGTCATTCATGTTGAACCGCTCACACACAGCGACAATAGACACAAATCAACAACAACTCAATTGAGCTCTCGAAACGATATATCAGTAGGTTGGGTTCAGTGTTGCCAACTCCTCAGTAAGGAAAGTGGCTGTCCTAAAAGTCGCTAGAACTCGCTAAATGACGTCATCCCGAATTTGCATAATTGTAATGGGCGCTGTAGGAGAGAGGAATAACGTCATGGGAGAGACAAAAAGTGAGTAAAAAACACCCTAAATATGTTTAGAACTACAAATGAACTTTCTTCTGTTGATTCTTTTTTTTTTTTTTATTTTGCATTGAAATAATAGGCCATCACTTCTCAAAATAACTTCATGACTTTAATGCTTTGTCTAGACCCATATTACATAAAACAATTTTGTCCTGTATTGTTAAATGATAGAATATCAAATTTAATCAAAAGACTGTTATGTGGGGTAGAATTGCTAGCTCTACGTCCAACCCTACTCTTTTATCCGGGCTTGGGACCGGCAAAGTGACCCAAATGAGACACTCTGTCAGAGTTACTTAGGTTTTTATTTTTTTTTAAATTTAATTTAATTTTTTTGTTGTTTTTTTTGGGGGGGGGTTCTTAATTTTGGTTTAGTTTCTAACCTTATGCTACACTTAGGAGCCTACAAGTCACAGTAAACGGTTTTACTGACAACTTGACAACATTAACAATCTCAATGGACCAAAAAGAGACAATAGGAAAAACTGTCAATGGCAATGTGAGAAAATGATTGTATTTAGTCTGGCCCTAATTCAGGTTCATTTTTATTTTTTTTTTCAGACCCCCCTCCACACACACATTGTGCTGGCTCACAGAAAGAGTAGGTCATCTTCATTTTGGTCAAGTTTTTCTATGGCAGGTTCAGCAACTGAGGGAGCTGACTTAAATGAGTAAGCAGCTGATGTGCCAAAAAGCTGCAAAACATTATCAGGCAGCTTGTGCTCATAGCAAGCCTCACCAGACAGCTTCAGACCATATCGGACATACAGGATGGAGTTAAGGGTCTGCAAGGACCGATTTCTAAGTTTGCTTTTTACCACACTCATCTGGCTGAATAGTCTCTCGACTTCAGCATTCAAGTGTGGCAAGGACAACACAGACACAGCAGCCATGGCAAGTTCCTGAAACAGGTTGATATCAGCTGCATCCCTGAACTTCCAAATCTCACTCCAGAAGCCCACTGTGTTTTTTGTTTCATTCCACTTACTAAGATGGATGGCACGCCATTGCTGGACAATCTTGTCTATCTCTCCAGGAGAGTAGCCAAGGAGCTTGGCTATTTTTGCTATTTCTCCCAGGTTCTTATTGTGCTCTAGAGTTTCCTCTACATTGAAAACTGACATGTGCTGCAATGCTTCGATGTTGTCCGGCAGTCTCACCCTCAACTCGTTAGTGAGGGAGATGGTGAAGGCTACACACCGCTTTCGGACACAGTTCTTCTCCTCAGGTGCAAGGTGGAGCTCAGCTGCCTATGACTCAAAAAGGTAACCAAGGTACGGTTTGGGACTGATGTATCCATCAATTGGCTCTTTGAGTACATCAATATTTGCCAGTGGATTCAGCACCCTGCTACTCACAGACTTTATCAGGCTACCCAAGCTGTCAAGAAGTTTAAGAGGATCTACCTGTTCTCCCTCAAAAGCCTTGATGGCCAACTGTACCTCACCCAGCACTGACTTCAAAAAGTCAGATACAAGATGTTTTGAGGATCACTGTACATGGAGTATAAAACCTCATCCATGTAGCAGTGTTCACTGAACTTGGTGACTGCGAAATGCAGTTTAAGTGCCTCCCGCTGGTCCAAAATGCGTGAAACCACTGGTTCAATGGAGAGCCAACGTGTGGCACACACCTTGGTTATTTGTAAGGGTTTCTCCCCACAGTTGATGGTCTCATATATGGCCTGGCCTCCCTGCGCTTTGGAGACACTGAAAACCAGTTATAAGTCTCCCGTACTAAGTACTCCACACTACGGGGGATGGTGTCATTGGAAGCATGACTTACAGCAAGCTGAAGAGAGTGACACTCACAGCGAATAAGAACCAGATCTTTGAGGCCATGCTCCTCCTTCAGCACTTTATGGACCCCATTGTTAATCCCCGTCATAACGTCAGTCCCTATCCCGAGGAGTTTCTCTTTTTTAGGACAACACTTCTCCAGGAAAGCCACAACAGCTCGGAATATAGATCTGGCATCTCCTCAGTCAAACTCAACAAGCCCCAGAAATGTTGAGACAATTGTGTGTTTGGCGTCACTAAAGTACCTTATCACAACCCCCAGGTACTTAGAAACACTAATATCTGTGGACTCGAGGAGGAGGCTGAAATGCTGGTCACCCACATCTGCGACCAACTTTTTTAGAAAGTATGGTGCTAGAACACCATTAATCATTTCCGTGCACTTTGTCCTGTGCATTTTGAAGTGAGTAGCAGCAGTGGAGTCTGAGAAAGCAGCTTTACATGCTTCCCCAATGTGATCACATGCCAGCATGGAACAGTGTTCAGCAATAGCTAATGCCATGGTGGCTTCAGCCTTTTTTTGCAGAGTCAATATTTTTACTAATGAATGGCAGCTTGCTTTGGGTGGAACTGTTATAAGGCTTTGCCTTTTGAGTATGTTTTTTAGTTGTCATGTGTTTTTTTATATCACAAATTTTGGCGTAGAAATCAGCCTTACAATACAGGCAGTATGCCCGTGAATCATCGGCAATAGACGGCTTCAACCAGCCTTAGAATTCAGGGTTTGATTGCCACTCCTTTCTGTATTTTTAAGCGTACAGTTTAGAGGAGTTGGAAAGTCGCCAGATTTAGCGAGAAAGTCGCTAAGTTGGCAACACTGGTTGGGTGGTTAGCCAACATGCTAACAGCATTGATAGCTACGCCAAACAGTACTGTCAGGACTTTTTTTAGTAGTTTAGCAAACTGTGTACTGATTGTCACTATAATGTGAATACAATTAGACGTTGATACGTGGAGTCTCAGCTAACTCTGTGACAGCTGGAGGGCTAAAGCTGTCTTAACAGTTAGGAAACAATTTTTGTTTCATGTTGAAACAGTATTTCCCATGCCTCTTTTGATTCACTCGGTCTCTACCGTAGCTTCCAATCCATGTCCTAAAATACCACAGTGCTTTGTATTGCTCACTGCCACTCACATTACAATCCTATTCTACTTTGTTACTACAGAATGGTAAATGTTACTGGTTTTACATTCACTATAACCCTATTTAGCCACAAGACAATTTGAAGGTTTTTGACTTACAACTATGCAATTTTACATAATTTGGGATTATTATTATTATTGCTATAGATAACACCCAAGAAGGTCAAAGACAAAATTTGCTGTTGACTAATTATTTTATTGTTTACACATATCAAAGCCTAAGCATTCATCTGATCATTAAATTCTCTGGCACTGTTTGTCCTGTGAAATCATATTTTATATATGTTTGAAATTGGGTTTACATAAAGGAACTTGCTCATGATAATAATAATGTATAGCCTAGACCAGAGGTAGCCAACACGGTGACTGCAGGTAATACACTGAAGCTTAGTTTATACTCAGCCCTGTGAAGCCGGTGCGAGGCCCACAGTTTGCTGATAAAAACACTATTTACATGTCTAGCGGTTATACAAAGAAGGCCAATTCACTTTTAAATGCTTTGGAGACAGGAGATCTTAAAAATCTTCATTTGAGTAAATATTTTGCAGCCAAATGAAATTGTTTACAAGATATTCAACCTTTGTTTCTTTATAATGCATGTAATACTTGACTTCTTTACAGGTCTTGTACAAAGGCAGTAAAGTAGAATCCATGATTATGAGATAAGAGGTTACCGATCATTACAATCTCTTTCACCATTGTGGAGGTCGGTTTAATGCATTTTGCAGGTTATTACAGTCTATGGCATATCTGAGTTACACTTGTTGTCCATTTTTTTTTACAATTAATTTAGTTTGTTTCGGCGTTTGTCTCTGGCATTTCGGAGAATAATGCAACGAAACAGCGCACAGAGTATAAACGCTTCCGCTCATGCATGAGTAGCTTGACTCTGGATAAAGTAACTCATGCAACCACTTCAGGTGGGCTGGTGAGGGGGGTATGAGCAGGTGGCTTGGAACGGCATCAACATCTGGGATCCGTCGTGGCAGTGACAGCCAGGAACTACTGAAATCATTTGGCTACACCTTATCCTGACACACAGCCAAGCACTAACATACCTGAGTACCCCCATGCTGCTGGAGCTAAGCGACTCCTCGTGTGTGTAAATCCATTCAAACATAATAAATGCGTAACAAAAATGTTTCCTAAGGCAGAAAACAAAAGAGGTTGCTTTCTTGCAATATTGGGATAATTAGCAGGTACATCATCACTGCAGCGAGTTCTGTATTTGATCTACTATGTACAGGGTAATATAGGTCATGTCACTACAGCTAATCTGCACTTACACATTATTCAGAGACGAGGTTAAATGATGGTGTTATTCTTTATTTTTGTTGCTAACAAATCCTAAGTGCAGAGCTGTAGGTGTTGCTGTCATGTGTGACAGGAACTTGTGGCTTCAAAACTAGTCCACAAACCAAAGGCTCTTTACATAAAGAATAGATCTCGAGCACTGACCATGAACATCAACGACCCGTCTCTGCTTCTGTCGGTCCACCTTCGCTCATCCGCTGAGTCTCCTCGTAGATTTTCCATGGAGACTAACTGAGCACGAAGCCCAGATGCAGGACTTCAGCATAGGTCAAAAAACACAAGTGAGGTCTGAGGATTGAGCTGAACAAACATCTGTACAGATGTGCCATTAACCTGAAAGTGCCAGGTGCGCGCCTCTACTGTTGGCAATTATTGCTGTGGTAACAGCAATGGGCCGTTGTAATCCATTACGTCCTTGCCAAACCAGTATATATAAGCTGCCAAACACACACACATGCTGCGCTTTTTACCATAGGAAACGAGTATGATGCCACCTCGTGACTGTCAGCCAGACTGTTACTGTGAACCTGTTCAGCTCATCAGTGAGCCATGTGCTCATGGTTATCACATTAATAACCATTCACACCTCCCACTGCGCAGACACCACCTGACCTCGGAGGTTTCATTTAGCTTTCAATATGAATCGCTGGTAACATGGCTGTTGTGCCTGCACGGTATTATTATCAAAGTATTTATGAGAGAGCAAAAGGTCATTCACAGTGGAGGTTGTAAACAAGCACAGGCTGGTGTCATAAGAGCAATTATTCCATCAGGTGACAGATGACTGATGTCAGATCAGTCTCAGAGCTTTAGCTCAATATGCAACACCAGTATATAAATAAATACAATGTTCTACAATATACCGTGCCTGGATCTTTATTGGGATTAGGTTTTATTTTAATAAAAAACATGTATTTGTGTTTGATAAAGAAAAGGTCCACTAATAGCTTTTTCTGGACCTTTCAATTACATCCCATGATCTTCCTCCAAACCCCAGAAATTACGTCCGCATGCAGGTGAATGACATTAACTTTGGGTAATGTATTTGCGAAATCGCAGAAAGGCCGACACTAAACGTGTCAGCAAAATGTTCGCTGACAACACGTTAACACTCCCAACTCATCAAATAAGGCTCTCAACATGGCGACGGCTGAGCTGGCTGCTAGCAGCTAACAGCGCCAACGACGCTAAGAGAGCTTTCAGTTCAAACTACGGCGAAAGTGCTGACGGAGCTAACAGTGTTTACCTGAGGGGGAACTGGAGGGTGGGCGCTACCCCTCCGTGCCAACGCCGTCGTTATCAGCTGTAACTGCCATATGAGAGCAGTGCAGAGCGGCGGCCGTGGGGCTCGCTTATATGCACTGCCATGCACAAAAAGCATTTATAGCCTCCCTGGCTATGTGGAAAAAGCAAGGCACACGGTGATTTGCTGCTACTTTAATGTATTGTATAGAGAACCTTTTTTACTTCCTGCCCATATCAGAGTAACAAAATTCTCATCGCTTGTATTTTTTTTCTTTTAGCAGCTTAGCTTTAGTTCATTCATGTGTTTTTTGTAGTGTACACTCTTTGCACTCCTTTTTGGATTTTCTCAACCTTATTAATAAGCAATTCAAGTCTCGTAGTGCATTTGAAATCCTCACTCTGCATTCCTATTTATCCCCCCATCTCTCTTTTTCCCTCCAACTCAATGCAACAACCCATTTTCCACATGAAACTTTCATCTTTCTCCTCTTATCTCACCTTAAGATGTATTTTTCAGGGGGTGCGAGTGTGTTGTGTCTCCCTCAGAGAAATGCAACCAGGCAGAGGTGGAGATGACACTTGAAACAAAGGAGAGATGGAGTTAACAGCGACAGTGTGTGTGTGTGTGTGAGAGAGAGAGAGAGAGAGAGAGAGAGAGAGAGAGAGAGAGAGAGAG